TTTCAGTGTGTCTCTTGTCTTAGGTGTGTGGCACATTAATCCTCTTCCCCCCTGCCTTCTGTCCCAGTCTCTGGCATGTGGAGAGTTCTGCTACTGAGTATGGACCAGATCCTGCAAACACCTCCACAGGTGTGTAATTCTACTAATGAGTGAGACAACCCATGCTGGCAAAATAAGCAGCATGCATCAGTGTTTGCAGGACCAGCCCCATGAAAACAAAGCACGGATTAAAATGATATTGGCTTTGCATGGCAATTGCTAACCTCTTTGTGCCCATGATGTTTAATTAAATGACTAATTCACTTCAATTTCATTAATGTCTAGCCTTACAAACCAACTAATCTTCTTTTTAAAAAAAATACTTGGATGCAAAACCTAGTCTTTTTTAAACATAAAAATTGGCCCGGAATTTTTCTTAAATCACATATGCCAAATACAACCACTAGCTGGTGCTATGGCATATTATTTTAGCATTCATAACTGGGAAAGTCAGCGCAGCCACAAAGAGTTGTTTTTCTGGCTTCCGTAGAAAATATTGGTAATGCTTGCAGGAAACCCAATTCCCTGGTAAAGAAAAGACAAGTTCCCTTTGCACAATCTACTGCAGTGAGACCAACACTCCCGCAGGGGATGTGAGCATGTTTGGGGAAACAAAGTGTTGATAAGGGATGGCCTCACACAGCATGGCTCTGAGCTGAAAGTCTGGAGCTGTCTACAATGGAGAGAGGAGGGGCACAGACCCTGCATGCCTCTGAGTGAAGGATAGCAGTAGATTTCTCATTTTGATTCTGTCAGGGGCATCCTTCATCAGGGCTTTGGGCCCCGATTCTGGAAGTGGCCATGGCCAGGAGCAGAAGCAGGGTCTTGGTTTGGTCCCCTCTCAAGCCTGTGTTCGGGATGATGAAGGGCCATACCTGACTGTTCTTGCAGTACCATAAAAGCAAAGCACTTCCTGCAGACAGAATTTGGCCCCAGGGTCACCGCTGAGAATTGTGCCTGACAAGAGGCTGAATCCAGACTGAACAAGGACCTCCGGAGTGGGCCCCGTAACTTAGACCTTTTAATCTACATTTTGTCAGCAACTGCAAGGTGTGCCCTCTGGGACACTGAAGCCCTTGTGATGGATGGGACCCCTGAAGGGTAAAAGGGCCAGTGCGGGAAGGTGAGCTGAGCAATCCCCTAGCTTTGATGAATACAGGGCCCAAGAGAGGCCAGCATTAACATTCAGCTGATGTTCAGACACTGGCCATTCCCACTGACGCCAACGCAGAGAGAGGCACAGAGCTGAATTTGGCCTGATGTTTCTCATACAACATTTTGGTTCCCACTGCCCTAGATTTTGGGGTTTTATTTTCCACTCGGCTTTGCTGTTCTTACCTGAGTTATTCACTGAATAATTCATTTGCCTTCCTGGGTCCTGAAACATTCCAGCTCCATGTGATACTCATGGAACATTACTCTAGTTAACGTCTAATTACACATTGCATCAAAGTTGCCGTGGAGCCGCGTGAAGCAGCTGCAGAACAGTGACGCATCTCCAGCAAATGACACCGCACACCGCACTTTGGAGGGACTCCCAACGGCTGGATCATTGGGACTGGCAGGAAGGGAGAGCCGCATTCGCTGAGACCCAGTCCAGAGCCTCCTGCTTTTAATTATTCCATGGTCTCCTCTCTTCCCCCCACCCAGGCCTGCACCCATGACTGCTCCCACTGCCAAAACCTCCCTCATCTCTCCTCCCACCTAGCAGAAGGATTGCTGAATCCCTGGAGCCAGCCCACTCCCTCAGGACTGCTTCCCCTTTGAGCCCAGTCCTGCAGGCCACTGAGGTTAAACCTACTAACTCCCACTGGGGCTTACCACTTAAAGCCCAAACAAAGGTAACCCCTAGCTTGGGCAAACAGTCCCATTGACAGGGAAGTCCTGCCCAAAGACGGACTGTGGGATTGGACCCTCGTTCTTCCTTTCTCCATGCAACTGACTGTGAGACCTTTCCCCCTGTTGCTGATGGCTGACCCCCTACAGGGCATTTCCCAGTTTCCCAACTGCAGGGTTCTCTCTGGGATGGTCCCACAACTCCTGTCATCTCCAGCAGCTCACTGGCAGAGTCCAATAGCTCCCTTTCAGCTCCCTGCCCCCCTACATGGACAGAAGCCTGTCACACAGCATTGCTGCAGAAAGTTAACAAATCTGGCATTAGTCTGAGTGACACAGCGCTGCTCCCTGCACAGACAGGGTCAGGTGCGTCACATGGAATCTCTTCCAGATCCAGACTCGCCTCTGCTGAGCACACGGCTCTGTAGGGGGGTGAGCAGGGGGAAGTATGTCACTTTCCTTAGCCTCTAGCAGCTCAGTGTATCCTCCCAATGGGAAATACTATTCCTAGTACCTACTCCTAATCACTCAGTGAGGACCGATGGTGATCTCTGGCTCACAAGGTCACCACAAAGTGATAGCAAGACCATGGCAGTTCCCCCACCTGCCCATGTACAGGCAGTAGACTCCTGGCACCCCCAGGGTAAGAGTCAATGGCTGGAGGAACCACAGGGTGGCAGATTCATCGCCCCTGCGTTCTTGGCAGCTCCTGCAGTGGTAGGAGAAGGTAAATCCCCCTGCACAGCAGAACCATAAGAAGCTCCTCAGGACAAGAGGAAGGGGCAGAATTTGGGATTAAGGTCTGAGTCGCGCATAGGCTGACACAATTACAGCGATCAAAGATGTGCAAAATTGACGAGCGTGAGAGTACTTCTGAGCTAAACATTTTTCCAACAGCTTCGCTCCCATTATTTTGAAGGTGAGTACCTATCAGGCCTGGTCTACACCAGGGATCTGCTCTGATCTCAACCATGAGTATAAAGAGGCACAGATGCTAGTTGCACTGACAAAGCATGGCCTTGCTGGAAACCGTTCTCCACGTGGCCAGTGCAAACAGTGGCTGCTCCTGCCTTCATCAAAGTTTCACCAATGCCGCTGGCTGAAATGGAGGCAAATCCTCAACAGAGACAGTACTCCCTAATCTCCCTGTATCTTCCACTTCTTCAGCCCATGCTTTTACCTGCTTCTCCCCAGCCCTCTGCTAACCACCCCTTTCCTTCCAGCCTGGGTCCATGCCTCGTGGGTGTGCCCAATGCAAGAGAGGAACCAGCCACCCCTGCTAGACCACTCAAAGAGAGGCTTAAATCAAATCCTCCTCAGCAACAATGACAATAATTATGCTTTTAACACATTTTACTACTCCCCCCCCATCACTTCATGCCACATCTGTGTGAACAATATCGAAAAGATTTACGGTCTTCTCTCCTAATTGCAGCCCCACAGCCCCGCTCACTTATCAAAATACTCGCTGAGCAATCAGCCTCCGCCGGGTTGACAGCAGCCATTCAAAACAAAACCGTTGAATCAGGACTTGTGCGCCACTGCGAAAGTATTCGGCACAGAATCTGCCTGTCAAAGCATGTGTCGAGAGGACTAAAATTACAGGCGCGAGGTGGGGTCTGCGAGTGAATAGGTCCTGGAGCTGGAAATGGCTCTGACATTTCGTTCTCGCCATGCAGGGTAAAATGTAATGAGGACAAAAATGTGTCTCCTGAATTCCCCGAAGAAATCATTAAAACATTTTGTTATTCCTAAATGTCTGCCCGATGAATTAGTGCCCCTGCCAGAGCCCTCCTGCACCTTGCTGGCAGCGAGGGCTCTTCATCCTCTAAGCTGTTGACAGCGCCGCTGTTTCCTTGTTACTGGGAGACTCCTTCCTGCCAGATTCTGCGCCGGCGAGCACAAAGCAAAGGGACTTGTGGCAGGACACATGGGACTTTCCATTAGGAGTTACTAGTCAATTCAAAATAGAGGCCAGTCCTTCTTTGCAGGGCAACAAATCCATCCGTGGGATCACAGCCTGATTAAGGTAAGACAGAGTCCATGCTACACAGAGCCTCTAGTTCTTTCCCAGAATGGGGATTAGATCCTCAGAAGCCTGAAGGCTATTTCATCCTCCTAACCACTGCTTCGCTCCATCCACAACAAATTGGGCAGGAGGCTGAGCTGCCTGCTGGTTGGCCAAGAGTGAGGATGCCAGGCCTTGCTCTGCCGCTGGACTTTGCCATGTCGCTTAACTCCGCTGTGCCTCAATTTCCCCATCTATTATATGGAGACAACACAGGCTTCCTAACCAACAGTGAACATTTATCAGTCCAGGCACATAGTCTGCTCAGCCACAGTGATAAGACTGAAAGGAAAAAAAAAACCACCCCAAATGTTATTTTCCGTTCCCATCAAACACTAATTGCCCTGAGTGAGCCAACAAGCAGGATTTGGTGAGGCTGTGGGAATAGTGGTAGGACAGTGCTGTGTGACCCTGTGCTAGAAATCATTGTTATTAGTGAGCATGGAGGGCTGACAGATTACTCTAGGCTAAAGAGGCCAAGTTACTGTATGTTAACCATGGGGTCACTCTCGATTAGCTCCCCTTTCAAAAGAGCTCAGAGGGCATGAACAGTGCTAGGCATAGGGTTAGTTGGATGTCCCTATGCACACTACATTGCCTTGTCGGGAGCTGTGCTGTAAAGGAGCGCTGTCACCGTGGTTAACTTACCGTCAAACACACAACTGGGGATAGGAGCAGCGTCATTACAAGGGCTGAGCAAATGTATTCCTATTTTAAAGTCAAGAGGCATTTGTCTCAGGTGCCAAATACAAGGATGGCAAAAGATGCTTCTACTTCTCTGTTCCACTTGGATCTCAAAAATAACATGGAAAAAACAAGTCGCCACCATCCCAGCTGTGACACAGGAAGAGCGAACCCTGAGGGAGTGATTCTGGTCAGATTCTGGAGAGATGTATAGCGTGAGAGATAGAGCTGCAGAAAGCCCTGGGCACAAGGACAGGGCAAGGATGCTGTGGCATGCAGCGTTCACAACCATCCATGTTTATATTGGCTGCTCCGGAGCCTCCGTTGGTTCTTAGCATTAATTATGCAGCTAAGTAGCCAAAGCGTTCCTTACCTGGTGCTCCAATTAATTGCTTGTAAACACTGAGGAAAGCCGTCTCAGCCTCCTTGCTTCTTTTACTAAGTGCAATCACCTGAGGGAAAATAAAAATACGAGGTGAGGACATGCAACACCAGGGCTTTAAAGCGAAGAAACGGTTGAGGACTAGGATCTGGTCTCAGCTCAACTGTCCAGGACTACACTCATGGCAGGACTAAATATTATTTTTCGGTGCCCTATGTTTCATGTTAGTGTTGTAGTTTTACAAATGTTACAAGTGTTCTCAAAATGGTAGTGTTATTACACATTTTACAAGTGTTGCCTTTTGTGATAATCTTTGGATAATGCTGTATGCCAGGCCAGATAACATTTAGCCCGTGGGCCGCATGCGGCCTGCAGTGGCTCACTGTGTGGCCCGTGATGACTACGGGCAACATGGCCTCCTTCTGTGGCTGGGGTGCAGAACATGGCCTCCTTCTGTGGCTGGGTAGAGGAGCGGAGCACTGCCGGGGAGGGGGAAGTGCAGCAATTCTTGCCACCAGGCTGCCTGCGTGCAGCTCTGGTGCGAAGAGGCAGGGCACGAGCCAGATGGTGGGACACCGGCAGACGCCAGGATGCTGGCGTGATGTGGCGTCGTGATGTCATGGCTGGCGACCGCTGGATTCAAAAAGGCTCCGGCAGCCCTGCAACCTGGAAGGCAGAAGCCAGGTAGGGGAGGGGAGGGGCTTGTGCTGAGGAGAGGGGGGCAGGTCAGGAGAAAGGGGAAGGCACCAAGAGACAGGGTGCAGGAGAGACAAATGCCGGGGGCCAAGTGCAGACACTGAGGAAAAGGGAAGAGGGGAGGTGTCAGTGGGAGGGGGGACAGGGTGATGCTGGGAGAGGAGAGGGTAAGAGCATTGGGAGCCGTGTGTTGTGCAGGCTTGATTTAATTGTAAAATTCTTAATAAATTATCACCCCAGCCCCGAAACCTACCCATGTGGCTAGGGTTGCCAGGTGTCCGGTTTTCTACCAGACAGTCCGGTATTTGTGCTGTCTGGTAAAAAAAATCAGAAAATATCGGACATGTGCAATTTCCGGTATTTTCTGAATTTCTGGCTGGGCAGTGGACAGAAGCCTGGTGGCACCTCCTGTGGTTGCGTGCTGAAGCTGGGCGGAGCGGGGTTTTTTTTGTATGCCCGACACGCATGGGTTTTTTTGTTTTTTGTTTTGGCTGGCAACCCTACTTGCAGCCTGCAGCTGTTTTCTTTGGGGTAATATGGCCCTCGCCGCTTTCCAAGTTGTGCAGGCCTGTTGTATACAGTTAATTATTATTATCTGGAGTGACTCTAGCTAAGCCACAGACAGATCTTCCTGCCTGGATTGCAGGGGGGTTGCTCCAGAAGGGCACAAATATAACTGAAGTCAGAATCCATGCCCCGCTAGGAAGTGTTAATAATTACCACCTACCTTCTCCTTATACAGCTGGAGCTGTGCAACTCCCTTCACTCCTGTTGTATACAGTTAATTATTATTATCTGGAGTGACTCTAGCTAAGCCACAGACAGATCTTCCTGCCTGGATTGCAGGGGGGTTGCTCCAGAAGGGCACAAATATAACTGAAGTCAGAATCCATGCCCCGCTAGGAAGTGTTAATAATTACCACCTACCTTCTCCTTATACAGCTGGAGCTGTGCAACTCCCTTCACTGTAAAGCTGCCGGGTCTGTCCTCTAACGAGTCTAACCAGTAAACAAGACTGTAACACTTAACAGCCTTTTGACCCTTTGTTTTATTGCTTGGTTCCACTTCTGATCATAAGTTCTGATTGCTGGGTTGTTTTTTTCTGGCTTACTCTAGGAATTATTTGTACCAGAGGTTCCCAACGACTTTAAGACCATAACAACAGAGTAACGCAGAGTAGGAGCACCTTTAGGGCATGCTGCAGGAGATCAAGTTTTTCTGCTGTAATTGCAGTGGCAGGGAATTAGGGTGGGAGAAGAAATGACCAGAGAAGTAACAAGAGAAAAAGATTCCACAAAGTTGACTATGCATCTCGCTGTGCTGGCCTCACTGACCCATGCAGTGCTTAGATTCCACAGAGACATGGAGAGAGAAAACTCTGAATAAGACAAAACATGGTGTATATTTCCTAGGTCCGGTGGGTCAGTTTACAACACACAAACCTGTCCCACCATCTTGCCTGCTTTTCACCTTTCTATGTTTTGCCACCTCCCACTGAGTGGAAACCCTGAAGGCACAGCAACGTTCACATGTATTGCCCCTCTGCCAAATGCTTTGCACGGTGTCATGCTATTAAATGGTCTAGGTGACCTGAGTTGAAAGAGAGACTGGCATATTGACCTGTGAGCAAGGGAAGGGATATTTCCAGGAACGGGCCTCACGGGTGCTTTATAAAATGCTGCGGATAAGGGTTCTATATCAGGATGAATGATAGCATTGCTTGATGTGTGTCTAGCACCTTTCATCGGATGTGTGCAGAACATTTCACTGAACTGCTATTATCCCTGTAATACAGATAGGGAGTCGGGTATGGGTTCTTCCACAGACTTCCCCTGAGACCAGAGGCAAGTCACTTAGCCTTTATGGTCCAGATCCTGGCAGAAATTAATGCTCCATTGAAATCAATGGAAGTTAAAAGCTTAAACACCTCTGAGGATCTGTGCCTTGTCTCTTCAACCGCATAACGGGGGATAATAGCCTTGCCCTGTCCTCCGGGGTGCTATGAGGTTAAAAGCATTTGGGAAGTGCTAGCACCATCTTGAAGGTAGACAGAGGGGACATGAGGTCACACTGGGGGCCTGCACATTTTGAAACAGACTCAATGTCTTCCCCCTGCTTTCACGTCTCTTTTGCATCCATCAGAGCAGCTGACTGACTCAGAAGACGGCTTCACCATGTGTCAGTTCTCTGTACACCACTCCCATCAGGGTCTCTTCTCTCTGGCAGCTGCTGGGAATGGAACTTTGGAGCAGTGAGAAAGGACACTCCAGCTACGTCTATACGACCATCCTTTTCATCAAGTGGAAATGCAAATGGAGTGTGTATGTTGTGCTCTCATTTGCATTTCCTCCTCGGATCCCCTTTGTGTAAGAGGTTTTTGTGCAAAAAAGCGCCGTTTAGACGGCTCCTTTTTGTGCAAAAAATCCCTTTTGCGCAAGAGCCCTTCTTCCTCATTCTTCCCTGAACATGTTGGCTAATAGCTATTGATGCACTTCATGAACTTATCTAGTTCTTTTTTGAATCCAGTTATAATTTTGGCCTTCACAACATCCCCTGGCAAGGAGTTCAACAGGTTGACAGCATCCTGTCTGAAGTACTTCTGCCTGTTTGTTTTACACCTGCTGCCTATTCATTTCATTGGCTGATTCCTGGCTCTCGTCTTCTGAAAGATACAAGCTCTCACTGGGACCTATCAGGCTCCCCACATGGGCACCCTCGCTGCAGAGGCAACAACACAAAGAACCCAACTTAGAAGAACCTGGTGAGGTGCCAATACTGAGCATCCTGTCTGAAGTACTTCTGCCTGTTTGTTTTACACCTGCTGCCTATTCATTTCATTGGCTGATTCCTGGCTCTCGTCTTCTGAAAGATACAAGCTCTCACTGGGACCTATCAGGCTCCCCACATGGGCACCCTCGCTGCAGAGGCAACAACACAAAGAACCCAACTTAGAAGAACCTGGTGAGGTGCCAATACTGAGCGCCTTCTAGCAAAGCCAACCTGTCAGTGCCTCCCTCTACAGCAGGGAGTGGGCAAAAGCCTCTTAGCCAGCCGGGTCTGGTGCCACCCCCAGCTCATTGCCTGGGAACAGGAGAGGAACGTAAGCCCTTCTAACTGCTTCTGTTTAAAGTGCTCCCGTCTTCCCCAGCCTTGGGCAGCAGGGGAAGGGAAGACTCAAGCCCCTTAAATGGAAACAGCTGCAAGGGCTGGAGTCTCTGGCTCCCTAGCAATGCGCCAGCGGAGCAGGAGCTGCGAGCCCTCTCAGCTGGGTCTATTCTCCTGTTCCCCCAGGCTGCTAGGCAAGCATTGCTTGACAGTGGTGGGGAAGGCAACAAGCCTTTTCAATAGAAGCACTTAAAAGGGCTTGAATTGCTGACTCCCTCCCAACTGCATTAGAGGCCAGTGGAGCTGAAAGCCCTTTTAAGTGTTTCTATTTAAAGGGCTGGCACCTTCCCAGCGCCTGTCAGGCAACCCTAGTGGCTTGGGGAACACAAGAGCCCTTTAGAGGAACAGCTGAAAGGGCTCGCAGCTCCCCACACCTCTAGCGCATTGCCAGGGATGCAGGATCCCTCTGATAAACCAATAACCAACCTATTTCATTATAACTGGTTTTGATTAAAATATCTAGATGCCATTTTTATAGTCAAGGGGGGGAATCTTTTGTAACCCATAAACCCTAACTGAATATACTTAGTGTGGGGGGAAGAAAAACAGGGACTTGGATACTATTTCATGGAATCATAGGGCTGGAAGGGGCCTCAAAGTCATTTAGTTTAGTCCCCTACACTCATGGCAGGACTAAGTACTAATTTTCAGTGCCCTATGATTAGTGTTAGTGTTGTAGTTATTACAAATGTTACAAGTGTTCTCATAATGTTAGTAATAGAAATATAGCCGTGTTAGTCTGGTCTTGCTGAAACAAAAGACAAGACTATGCAGCACTTTAAAGACTAACAAGATGGTTTATTAAGTGATGAGCTTTTGTGGGCCAGACCCACTTTTAGTAACACTAAAATGTTACTACACATTTTACAAGTATTACTTTCTATGATAATCTTTGGATAATGTTGTATGCAGTTAATGATTATTATATTTGAATTACTTTGTTGTGTAAAAAACATATTGGCATCTTTTTACAGCATGACCCTGTCCCTTACACCCAAGGCCCCCACCCCTTCCGGGATGGCCCACGGACCTTTCAAAAATTATTGTCCACTCCTGGCTAACAGGGAACACTGCTTCCATTCCAGACATTATGCACCATCATTAGAGCCAGGAGCTAGACTTGCACACACTGGCCAGAAACCCAAGAGAGGGCTCAGGTAAGCCAAACTTATTGAACAGTTAAGGCACCACACTGCACTGGAATTTGAG